CTCACCCTGAGTAGTGTCACATTGGGCGTACTTATCACGTGTGCCCTTCGCGTACCCCATCACCTGGCATATACCAGGGTAATCCTTCCCTGATTCAAGTGAGAGGGCCGGAGAGAACTGTTTCCCTTGAGATGAGATGTCAGCCTCTTTGAGTACACATCCAGTGGGAGTGAATTACTGAAGTCTTTCTTCTGTGCCTGTGTTTCTTCTATAAGTGTGTGTGAGTGCAAGTGTAGAGGGAGCGTGTCTCTCAGTTTTGTGATTGTGAGGTGCAGACAGCAGCCCGAGGGTTCCCCCTCGCCTGCGTCGCCTCACACATCAATACAAATACACACACAACACATTCTCCCACAAGGGCGCCTACCCTCAAAATCCCCCGCTAATGGAAGCCACTGCAGTTTTCAGTCTGGTTTTCATGCACAGCTTCATGTAAACGTGATGCCATCAGACATCACCTTCAGGAAGAAAGAGAAAAATACTGAAAACACTAAATTGTGTTCAACACTACATTACATCATCGCTGTTTTACACATGCATTTGATTCAGTCTAAAGTGATTCTTTTTCACGTTACTTCTTTAAAGACCCCATGAAATCAGAGTTTTTAATTTATGTTAGTCATCTATATGCTAATGTACTCCTGAAAGTCAGCTGAACTAATTTTAAGCAGGTATATGCATTTAAGATAAACAGTCATCTCCTACCTGGAAAATATTGACAACATCTTGCAAATGCACATTTTTGTCCATTTAAAATGCCCTCTACAATAAGAATGTCCTTCCTAAATCATCAACTAACCTTCATTTTTGCATTGCTGTGCATGTAGCAGTGCTTGTGGTTCATAGAGTTTCTGTAGTTTTGTTTTCATCTGTTAATTTAATCTCTTGATGATTTCAATAAATGGAAGTATTTCTGTTTTCATGAGTTCTCTGTTTAAAAGAGAACCTTGTCAAAGATTTCCAAAGTTCATAGAAGTAAAACTGTTAATATTTTTAAATATTTTAATCTGTAATGAAGTTTCTATATTTCTTTATTTTGTAATTAAAAAATGTACTGTCCATCATCTATTATATATTATAGTTGGTTCAAATAATAACCAACTGCTTAAACTGAAATGCAATTATAACTACTAGTTTAAATTTGTAACACATAGTTTTTACTGTAGATTAACTGTTAATAAGGAAACAGCATAAGGATGTTTTTTCCACATTTATCCAGTCTGTAAATGTGACGGCATTTGATTTTTGAATGAACTACGTATGATATAGACAATGTAGGCAAGCATTAGCCTCATCTAACACTTTCATCAAAAGAACTGCAATGCCTTCTCTTTATATCCCAGAATTGTTGCACATATGCCAATGTATTTGGTGTGCAGCGAAGCCATTATATATACATGAAATGCTCAGTTTTTGATGCAGCTCTATTCCATTTATGGTTTCCGCACTGCATGCCTTACATAATTACTAAAATCATTGATTCTTATATATTTTTCATGCTCATAGCTCATAAAATAGTTTTTTCATGAGATTGGGTTACATAATCTGTCTAACAAATGTCTTGTTCAGTTATTTAATAGAATTTGTTTGCATTTGAAGTCATTATTCTTGCCTGCTTGAATAGGTTATTCATTTTTTTGCACATTTCAACTGAATGCATTACAATTCCATATTACTAAATTCTGTCAGTACAAAAATACAAACATTTCCTGCACTTCATTGAATTTCATAGTATTTTTTCATGCTATGGAAGTCAATAGGGAGAAGAAAGAAACCCATAAAGGTCTGGAACAACGCGAGGGTGAGTAAATGATTTTAAAAAAATCATTTTTGGGTGAACTATTCCTTTAAATCACGTCTGGTTGTCCCACAAATGAATGCAAGTTTTCAGCCTAATTTTGCTCGTTGACAAAGACGATTTTGATGATTGTATCCTGCATATGCATGCATCAAATCTATTGTCTTTAATTTTGTGAAAATAGCACTTAAAGGGATAGTTCACCGAAAACTGAAAATTCTGTCAGTACAAAAATACAAACATTTCCTGCACTTCATTGACTTTCATAGTATTTATTCATGCTATGGAAGTCAATAGGGAGAAGAAAGAAACCCATAAAGGTCTGGAACAACGCGAGGGTGAGTAAATGATTTAAAAAAAATCATTTTTGGGTGAACTATTCCTTTAAATCACGTCTGGTTGTCCCACAAATGAATGCAAGTTTTCAGCCTAATTTTGCTCGTTGACAAAGACGATTTTGATGATTGTATCCTGCATATGCATGCATCAAATCTATTGTCTTTAATTTGGTGAAATCCCAGTCGTGAACTGTGAGAATTCTTTTTTTTCTATTTTAATAAGAATTCATGGTAACACTTTATTTTGAAGACCAATTCTCACTATTAACTAGCATGCATATTACTATCATACTGGCTGTTTATTAGTACTTATAAAGCACATTTTAATGCCTTATTTTGCATGAGCATATTTTAGATCCCTTAACCCTAACAACTACCTTACTACTTTACTGAGGCAAAAGTCATAGTTGATAGTTAGTATTGAGAATTGGACCTTAAAATAAAGTGTGTCGAAATTCATAATGACTTCATGCCACTGAATATAAAGTAATTCATGCATTAAAATTCAACCTCCTACTGTACATTATAATGTGGGAGTCAATTGTTTCATGCATGTGTGAGCTAAATGATCTCCTGTACAAATGAAGATGATGAATGCAACTAAAGGCAACTAAAGATAATTTTGTCCTTCCATCAGTCACGAGATATCAATCTCGTATGCAGATCACATGCAGAAACACTACAGCATTCATAAATCAAGTATAGCTCAGATCCATCATTAATCATCAGTGTTTGATTTGATCAAGTTTCCCCTATAAAGCCCTCGTGCACTATTTTCAGCGTTAAATGAATAAACACACGGCAGCCTGTCTGAGCTGCTGAACTCATCAGGGATATCACACACACAGGAGGAGGAGTCAGCGTTTAACTCCCAGGGCTTTAATCACTGTTAATTTGGCTCATCGTGCATTAAGAGATGCACGACTCCCTCAGTGAGCTGTTCTCAAGGTAGTATCTGCCGCCGTATAGCTGCAGCATCACATGTATCCATTGAAGATCAGCCAATCTCAGAATGCATTATGACAAACTGTTTATATCTATATATTGTTCTTTAAACTTTGTTCAGCAATCTGCTGGAAATGGAGCTCTGCCATCACAAGAAAAGAAAAAAAGTATCGTTTTAAAATGTATTACAACAAGTGAAAACCGTTTATTTATATTTTAGAGTTACACTGATATCTAGAGACCAGAATATGGTCTTAGAGGTTGGCTCTGTTGAATTGGCAGCCATGCAGACAACGTAACAACCTCCCAGCAATGCCCTGGCAATCGCCCACAGCACGCCAGCATGGTGAAGGTGACTTTTGCATGGGCAAACAAAAAAAAAAATGTGCAAATTAAGTTTTATGTGTGTTGTCACCAGTCTGGTATTGTGTTTGGGTGCTGTAGGTGCATTTGAAGATCCTGTCACTGTTCACTCTATGCTAAATGCCATCTGTGGCCACCTGTGCCAACGACTCCTCTGGGGTTTGATGGGCTGCAGCTGCTCCCATGTAGCAGTGTAACCGCAAATGCCCACACAGACCTTCAAGATCAGACCAGCTCTGATATCACTGATAACATCAACTCCACTGTATACCCATTTTTCCCTTATAGAGTATAGAGTCTAAAAACTAGATCATAATGTCTTTGAATTTACAGTTGTGTAGAGTGAAATAAAACTCATTCAGTGTTAAAAAGTATGACAGAAAATAACGATGTGATATCAATTGCAAAATCAATAACTCATTGGTAATATCAAAATTCAATGGTAATACAACATCGATGCATGGCTTTAATTTACCAGCATCGAAAGGTAAGATGGGGAAATGTTGGTATCAGACGTGATATCAACGGTGATTCGTTCTGTTAAATCGAAACAAAATTCAACGTTGATTCAACCTTGATCCCAGACGTTGATTCCCCGGTGAAATGCCCACTGGACTGCACTGTATATAGGTTTTCTTTTTATTGCATTACACTGTAAGAAAAACTGCATAGAAAAAAATGCTGAAGATTCAGCTTACAGATATTTCCTTCAAACCAAAAACAGAATACAGTGCGATGCATCATTCAAAACACTGATAAAACACTAGTGAAAAATCAATTCCCTCATAATAACACTTTTCTTGACAGACTTTTCTTAAGAGACTATGACAGTATGAATGAATGCTTTTTATTTATTTATACATTGTTTATTAAAAACCCTTTCCATGTTGTTGTGAGCCAATCCAGATCCTATTTTTGATTTGAAATTCACTTTTTATTTCTTAATTCAATATGAAATTAAAAGAAGTTGAAGGAAGATGAAGTAGCAGAAGGCTTCTGCATTGAAACAATAAAAAAAATCTAATGCATGTGTATATATATATAAAATATTACTAGTATTTTGTTTATCTGTTCTGAATCGTTTTTTTATTGTTTTAGGAACAATACAGGAAACACGTGATAGTGATTCACTCGGTTTTAGTTTCATGAGTTAATTAAAGAAATACTAATTTAATTAAATGAGAAAATGATCATTTATAATTTTTGGACCATTTTACATTGTGGTATATAAAGTTTTTATTATTTATTTGTTTGTTTGTTGGGAGCATTGGTTACAAAGTGTATACTTTTACAAGTATTCGTATCTTTGTTTCAAATCCTGTAAATTATGAAACAGATTGCCATCTTTTAAAAGTAAAGATGACACACACGACTTTAACTAATGAACATCTGACGAGGTTTCAATGTCTCCTGTTAATTCATGATTGAGATTCATTTCATGACAATTTACTATGAATGCTTAAAATGCACTGCAAATCATATAGTGTGCTTGCATTGTGAATCTTTCAGACATTTCCAGTGACACAGGCTTGTGTTTGTGTTTTTCTGTCTTTTCTCAGAGGAAGGTCTCATTCATGAATGTAAACTATGCAGTCAAACCTTCGACTCTCCAGCGAAGCTGCAGTGTCACCTCATCGAGCACAGCTTTGAGGGCATGGGCGGCATCTTCAAGTGTCCCGTCTGCTTCATAGGTACATCTTTATATTCGTGTGCGTGTGAGTGTGAGTGTGTGTGTGTGTGTGTGTGTGTGTGTGTGTGTGTGAGAGTAAGTGTGTGTGTGTGAGAGTGAGTGTGTGTGTGTGTGTGTGTGTGTGAGAGTGTGTGTGAGTGTGTGTGTGTGAGCGTGAGTGTGCGTGTGACCGTGTGAGCGTGTGTGTGTGAGTGTGTGAGTGTGTGAGCGTGTGAGTGTGTGTGTGAGTGTGAGCGTGTGTGAGTGAGTGTGTGTGCGCGTGCGTGTCTGTGTGTGTATGCCAGAGCAGCACTAAAATCAAGCAGTCTTTCATATAATATCAACAACCATAGTTGTTTTTATTAATTAACAACAAAAGCAAAAGCAGTGTTAAGTCGCTGGGGGATATTTGTAGCAATAGCCAAAAATACACTGTATGGGTCAAAATTATCAATTTTTCTTTTATGCCAAAAATCATTAGGATATTAAGTAAAGATCATGTTCCATGGAGATATTTTGTAAATTTCCTACTACAAATATATCAAAACGTGTGTGTGTGTGTGTGTGTGTGTGTGTGTGTGTGTGTGTGTGTGTGTGTGTGTGTGTGTGTGAGCGTGAGTGTGCGTGTGACCGTGTGAGCGTGTGTGTGTGTGTGTGTGTGAGAGTGTGTGTGAGTGTGTGTGTGTGAGCGTGAGTGTGCGTGTGACCGTGTGTGTGTGAGTGTGTGAGTGTGTGAGTGTGTGTGTGAGTGTGTGAGCGTGTGAGTGTGTGTGTGAGTGAGTGTGTGTGCGCGTGCGTGTCTGTGTGTGTATGCCAGAGCAGCACTAAAATCAAGCAGTCTTTCATATAATATCAACAACCATAGTTGTTTTTATTAATTAACAACAAAAGCAAAAGCAGTGTTAATTCGCTGGGGGATATTTGTATCCTAACAAACCATACATCAATGAAAAGCTTATTTATTTATTTCACAAAATCGACCCTTATGGCTGGTTTTGTGGTCCAGGGTCACATTTTAGAATGGCAAAATCATCAAAACTTTGAAATAACACAAATGGAAGTATGATTCTGCTCACACTGGATATTCTTTCATGAGCTGCACCATGGGATACTTTGTAAACACCAAATTCACATACTGGTTTTCCTTTATCAAGATCACTCCATGCAATCTTCTCCATGCATTTAAGATCCCACACAGACACTGATTTCCTCAGTCTTTTGACTGGTAGTGTGTTATTGTGACAGTGAGTGAGAAGAGCAGGACAGACAGAGCGCATGCAGTATTAGTGGATGTCGGTGTTAATGATCTGCTCTGTCTCTGGATGTGAAGGAGGGTGGGAGTGGGATCAGACCCCGTCCTGAGAGGAAAGCGTCTCATCTCTGGTGTCAGCAGGGTTAACTGTCTGCGTAATGAAATCCCAGAGCTCAGAGAGGCTGTTTGCTGCTCAGTGCGCAAAGCTTCATTTCAGACTCTTTCAACTGTTGCTTAAGTTGGGCTTTCACAAACACCTGCACGTTTATGATGGAGCTGTATTCAAACAATCAAAATGCACTCTCAGAAATAAAGCTACGAAAGCTGTCACTGGGGTGGTACCTTTTGAAAAGGTGAACCTTTGTACCTTGTTTACCCCTCAAGGGTGTGTATTAGTACCTTAAATGTAAATACGAGTACTTTAAAACCACAAAACCAATCATAAGGGTCAATATTGAGATGTATACACCATCTAAAAGCTGAATAAATAAGCTCTCCGTTGATGTATGGTTTGTTAGGATATGACAATATTTGGTTGAGATACAACTATTTGCAAATCTGAGGGTGCAAAAAAAAAATCTAAATATTGAGAAAATCATCTTTAAAGTTGTCCAAATGAAGTTCTTAGCAATGCATATTACTAATCAAACATTAAGTTTTGATATATGTACAGTAGAAATTCAACAAATGATTTTAAAACGTAAAATCACATTTGCAGTTTCTACAGACAAACAGTTCTCTGTCATTTATAGCATTGCTTCACAACCTCTAAGCCTTTGGTGGGTCTGCATTAAAAGGTTTTTGCTTTTTTCCACGGAGAAAATCCATCCAGGGTGTTCTTGTTTCAAAAGAAGGTTTGCGAAGCCCTGACTCGGGAGCTACATGAAGCATATAACTTAAACCTTAAGATGCATCTTTTACAATCACTTTATCTTGATGTATTTCTCGACTGCCGCCGCAACAGCATGCTTCATTTGTCTCCCTCTGTCTTTCTCTGCTTCTCTCATTCTTACTGACTTGATCTACAGGGCTCTTTTTTTCATTTTGACTTTATTTGGTGTTGGCGCCTGCCAGACAGGTCCCACATCTCCTTCCGCACTCATATTGATCATGCAGCAGAGAGAGGAAGAGAGAGAGCAGAAAGCAGCTCTTCATCCGCACTGCAGAAATCATGACTAACATATGAACACATGCGCCACACAAACATCCCAACACTGATCTAGGGGTGTTTTCACACTAGTTAGATCATTTAATTTGTGCAAAAATTATTTTCTGAACTTGGATTGCTTGAAAACAGTAGCCTGGGGTTTGGTCAATTGTGTGAGTGCTTTCTAACTCACCTTGCCAGCAAGTGTGACTGATGCCCTGCAAACAGAGCAATGAGTGTATTTTAATTGCTGATTTTCTCCACAGAAGCGGCCTTCAGACAGCAGATCGCATTCTTTGCATCTCTTATAGTGTATTTGCAGCAGACACCGTTCTGTGCTTGTTGAGTTTTGGTAGTCAAACAAAAATCTCCGCTTGAGTGGTTATTTATACACTGGGGTAATCAGATGCTGTTTGCGCTCATGTTGATGACACTGATGTATTGTGGTTCCAAATATAAAAAGATATATTTAAAAATGTACATATAAAAAATGGCATAAAAATAGGTTTGCTAAATTATGTTTCAGAATATATTTACGGAGATATATTTTCTATCAATATATTTTTGGCTATTTTTTGGATATTTAAAAAAATATATATATAATAAAATAAATATCAATATTTTTTTCCAAGCATTTGAAAATATATTTTGCCATCCAAACATTTCTGTCCAAGAAAATACATTCACGTATGTCAGAAAAACCTTCTTTGTTGTTTATAATACATGTGTACTGTACATATAACACATTTTAATAAAAATACGTTACAAAAAAAAATGCAATATATAAAAAGAAATGACATATTATTAAATCATTATAAATCTAGTTTTGATCTCTAGTAGGCTATTCCATCCACATTTTCATTTAGCCTAGATTTAGACTGTAAGACTGAACATGTATTTTCTGGACCCTGAAATACATTTTGGTATATGAAGGTTGAAACTAAATATATTTTCAAATTAAAAATATATTTCATTGGGCTTTACATGTCTTCAACATATTTGGCATGTATTAAAATATGTTTTGGCTGGGGAGAAAAAAATGTGCATGTGTCAGAGTCAAATATAATGTATTTAATATATCAAATATCTTCACTGAGTAGAATATGGTGGCCTCAAATAATGATCATTTCACCAGCGGAAAATCTGAAATGATATACAATTTGAATGTATTATTTCAAGACGAGCAGTTTTAATAGAAGCGTTTGTTTGGGGACTGCAGCCGGAGAGAGTGGAGGCAGGAATGAAGGAAGGACAGACGCAGCGTGATCATGCAAAGCGAGGGAGGATGAGAGAGAAAGAGGAGGGAAGGAGGTGAAAGAGGAGTCGAGGAGCCATCCAGAGGCAGCGGGGAGATGTCAGAAGTGTGGCTCTCATGGGACGCATTTGACAGCTATGTGAAGTCAGGCAGCCCGCAGCTGAAAGTAGCTCCGTTCACCCCGGAGGAAGCCGAGCGCAGAACAAACACGCTTATGAGCTTTTGTCTCACTTTACACAACAAAACACAACTGTTTTACACTCAGTTGTGTGCACGATAATGCTGCCTGGCCCTGGGTTTGTGAATATGTCACCATCGATACAAAAAATAACTTCTTGTACAATACATTTAATACAAGTGATACCAAATAATAACAATTAAAAAGTCAAATGTGCTTTTTTTTTTAAGATTCTACCAAATCATTCATTGGTTCCTTAACACTGAGTTTACCAATTAAGTAATATGATGAATAAGCCTCATTATAAATAAATGCATTTGAATAAATGAAAAAAGAAGATCTGTGCATTCATTATCCTCATGGATGGCTGGAGTCATCCACATGTACATTAGAATTTTTTTTTTTTTTAATAAAACAATGGACCCGCACTCTAATATTAGCATGCATAAGTAGCATCCCATAATCCCATTCTGCACATTTGTGATCCTTACTGTAAAGTGTGACCTATTTCTATTCTACATTACTTGGTGTATTACTATGTTTGTAGGCTGTATATTAACGGTATGCAACTGTAAAAGAGCATTTCTTAGGAACTATTGCTGGACTTTATTTAAAATGTGCAGAATATTTATTAGCATCACATAACAGTCGTAACACATTCATCAAACGATCGATCAAAAACCCCAAACACTCACATTAACTTTTTGTTGTTGTTGTTGTTGTTGAACACACTGCCTTTTCTGAAAATCTTTGGCAATATGTAATGGGAAAACTGAAAAGCCATCTTGAATATCAGTTTTGCACAGACACACACTGAAGTCCTCAATGTGTTATTCTTGCTTTCACATTGGACGCTTTGTCTCGTGACAAACAGTGCAGTTAGGTACTGCAAAGTAACAATCCCATTCATTGCCTCCATAGAGAAATTGAGTTTTAGTAATAAATAAACATTTAGCAATATGTAAAATTTTGCATATTTAAATATTAGCCCATGTGTCTGTTGAAGCCATTAGTAAGTGCAATTTCAATTTTGTGTCAAATAAATAAAATCATCAACTGCTGAGTACCTGCATGGTGAAGAACTACAGTTCCCATAATCCCACCAATCATTACCATGGAAACAACCTCAACAGTACTGTGGTAACAGCGTCTGCTGCGTCTGATTGGTGGATCTGTTTTAGTGATCCAAATTTAGCTCGATTTGAGCGTGATTTAAATGTGTGATTTCCCATTATTAAACAACCTTGGAGTTCGGGAACCCAGTTTGGTGGCAAAGATAGAAAATCGAGACATTTTATAAAGAAAATGCAATCAGTGTTGGAGATGCTGTGACGATATCGGATATGAGAAATGTGCATGCAACCATAGCTTTGATGTTTTTACTGTATGCTCTGAACATTTTCACAGAAGTTTTTATATGATACTTAAATATGAGAACTTCTGTAAATGTTGTTGGAGAAGTGTGAAATGCTGTCAGTTTATAATATGATCCAGCAGTAGCCCTTAATGAATGACGTTAGTTAGGAGCCTACAAACATTAGTAACACATCAAATGATATTGAAATAGGTCACACTTTATAATAAGGTTCACGAATGTGCATACATACTTTATTAAAAAATAAAACATGTTAGTAAGGAGCCCATAAACATTAGAAACACATTAACTGATGTTCAGATGGTTTCTGCTTTACAGTGAGTTTCAGGAAAAACGCTTTATTGCTTTTAAGTGACTTCAATAAAGTTACTTGCTGTTCTTTGTTATTTAATAGTAACTAATACATTAATGTTAACATGCAACTTGAATGTTAAGACTTGCAAATGAATAAATAGGCATAAACCAAGATAAATTAATGTAAAGAGGAGTTGTTAGTTCATATGTTAAATGATGCATTAACAAATGATAAGCATTTAAGTTATCAATATTTAGAAATGCATCAGTATATGTTGAACTTAACGCTTTAAAATAAGGTTCTATTAGTTCAAATTAGTTAACAACATTAGTTAACATGAACTAAAAATAAAAAAATACCTCTAAAGCATTTATTAATCTTGGTTAATTTTCATGTCAGCATTTACTAATACATTATTAAAATCAAAATCTTTATATCATTGTCCTGAGCTAACATGAGTTTAACAATGAACAGTTGACTTTTATATAACAAAGATGAATAAATACTGTAACAAATGTATTACTTAATGCTAGTTAATGTTAGATAATGCATTACCCAGTGTTAACTACTAGGGCCTTATTGTGAAGTGTTATTTGAATGCTGTATGCAGATCTTGTTCATTGTTAGTCTTGGATCAACTAATGGATTAACTAATGTTAACAAAAACAATGTTTTTGTAAAGTTTTACAGATAATAGAAATTGTAGTCTACCATTGTGCTAGTAACCATTCTCTACATGGTTGAAAACAAATCACGTCCATCTCTCTCTCGCTCTCTCTCTATATATATATATACACTGTATATATTATCGCTCATTTATGCTCATATGCAGGATCTCAAACCCAGATGCACGGCCAGATCATTTTACCTGTATGACCTCTAATGTGAGTTAGAAGACACAGGTTCTCATTGACCCAAATAAAGCTTGCTTGGTAGCAGTGAACATCAAATTTGGGTCTAAATCCAAAATCCACAGTGACATGAAGGCAAAAGTTGTTTATCCCTCGTAAGAAATTCAAATGAAGACCAGAACTCACTCTTTACCTCAGAGACATGACTCGTCGTGTGTGTGTGTGTGTGTGTGTGTGTGTGTGTGTGTGCGACTAGCCACCATTAACATATGGGTCTCTAAAAACAAACAGCATGTTTGAAGTACTCCTGTGAGAATAACTGCATGCTTTCTCACACACACACACACACACACACACACACATACTCACACTCACACTCACACACACACACACACTCACAACACACACACACACGCGCACTCTCTCTCACACACACACACATGCACACACGCGCACACACACACACACACACACACACACACACGCACTCTCTCTCACACACACACACATGTACACACACACACTCAGCAGCTCTATGGCTTAATTAAAGGCACACAGACGCACTATGTGTTTTAAGTGCCATTTCAAAGATTATATGAGACTGAAATCAGGCTACGCATAAATAGTGTCTGCATGAATATTAATAATATAAATATAATTAGCACTGTTGACTAATAAAGACAGTGTTTTTGCATGAGGAAGGGACTGCAGTTCCTGTGCTTGTTTATGTTCCTACAGTGGCTCTAAATAAAGCACATCATTATTCCTCACTGTTCACTATGACTCAAAACACCGACCGCTGACCATTATCCATTCAGACACAGAGCAGAGCCTGCCAAACCCTGGAGACTTCCAGCTCAACATTTGCCGAGTGTTTTGACCAAAAGAGTTGCGCGCAGGTGGGATTGGTTCTCCCATGATGCGAAAGACTGGAAACATTCGGGTTTCCCAGCATCTTGATTCACTCATTCATGACAATACTTCTTTCATATGCTGCCAAACTGTACAAATTGAGCTCGGAAAAACAGAACATATGTCTTTCCTCATTTGAACTGAGGAATATTATGAAAAAAATAAGTCCTCGTGTGTGTGTGTTGTACCATAAACACTACTTTAAAATGCTGGTTAAGTGTTTGCTACTGTATGTGATCCATGAAGAAAAGTGATTTGAGAGAGAAACGGAGAGAAATTACATTTTTGTTTCAGACATGAAGTGTTTATATTTCTTATAACTTTATGATATTCAAAACTTGTTCTTTTGAAAAAGTAGTTTTATTGTATGTACACAGCAGACAAAAGAAACCCCCACTCGTTATTTATTATAACTGCTTTCTACATATTTGAATAATAGTAAACTCAGTAAAACTATGAAATAACACGGAAGTATTTATTTTTATTTTTATTTTTTCAAACTTCCCACCCCCTGTCATTTCTTCCTTCTCTTTGTTACTGATTTTTTTTATTATTAATACTTTTATTCATCAAGGACACATTAAACTGATGAAAAATGACAGTAAAAACATTGATTAAAAAAATAATAATTCAAATAAAAATACTGTACTTTGAACATTGTATTTATCAAAGGATCCTGCAAACAAAAAGTATCATGGTTTCAACAAAAAATAAAAATAAATAAATACATTTAAAAAAAATGTGTTCAACATTGATAATAATCAGAAATGTTTCTTGAGCAGCAAATCAGCATATTATACTGATTTCTGAAGATCATGTGACACTGAAGACTTGTTTAAACTATGCTGAAAATTCAGCTTTGATCAGAGAAATACATTCACATAGAAAACAGTTATTTTAAATTATAATACAATTTCACAATATTAATATTTTTACTGTATTTCTTGATCAAGTAGATGCATCCTTGGTGAGCAGAAGATATCATTTTAAAAGCATTAAAATTATTTCGTGCACAGGCAAGACTTAGATTTGTCTACAGTACTAATTTCAAGAAATTAAGCATAGGCCTGTGTCAAAAAGCTTTACGACGCAAAACTGGTAGTGCGTATGGAAAGCTATATATTATCGCTCATTTATGCTCATATGCAGGATCTCAAACCCAGATGCACGGCCAGATCATTTTACCTGTATGACCTCTAATGTGAGTTAGAAGACACAGGTTCTCATTGACCCAAATAAAGCTTGCTTGGTAGCAGTGAACATCAAATTTGGGTCTAAATCCAAAATCCACAGTGACATGAAGGCAAAAGTTGTTTATCCCTCGTAAGAAATTCAAATGAAGACCAGAACTCACTCTTTACCTCAGAGACATGACTCGTCGTGTGTGTGTGTGTGTGTGTGTGTGTGTGTGTGTGTGCGACTAGCCACCATTAACATATGGGTCTCTAAAAACAAACAGCATGTTTGAAGTACTCCTGTGAGAATAACTGCATGCTTTCTCACACACACACATACTCACACTCACACTCACACACACACACACACTCACAACACAAAGGCAAAGCATCACTGGGACAGTTTGAAAATCAGCTGTAACATTGTGATGCGACTCAAAGTAAAGCTCATTGAAATCAGGCACTCAATTATGTAATATTATACAATATAATGATATATGCATTTTCCTGCAACTTTAGAGTAATTAGTCACGTGGCATTTACAGCTCCAGTGATTGGCTCCAAAAATGACAGCAGAACTGAGCTTATAAATAGACATGGCAGATTTCAAATTGCGTGCTTCCTTTATCAGCGAATCGAGTGCTATTGAGCAACTGCATTATTTTTCAGATATTATAGACCTCCTTAGATGAGTGCTGTGAATTCCTCATATTCATTTTTAAACCTGTCCCCTTTTTATACCATCTCTGTTTTTTCTCCCCTCTCTATGTTTATGTCGGCCTTGCACTCGACATCCTTTTTCATTTTCTTTCATTGTGAGAGTAAAAATACCTCAACTGTTTCTGTTTCCGTTTCTTTTCACTTAAAAAAAAAAAAGACTTTACTTTGAAGAAAGCAAGAATGAAACTAGCTAAGGAGCAGCTAAACATTTTAAAACCTACCTGTGCTTGTAATGATACCAAAATTCTGGCTTGTGCTTGTATTGTATGTACTTCTAAAAAATATTATACTTCTAATGTATAGCTTCATAGTCAGGATGGAAAACTGTATTGTGGCCCTCTTTACCTCGCTCAATTAGAGGATTTACACCAACACACACACACACACACACGCACTCTCTCTCACACACACACACATGTACACACACACACTCAGCAGCTCTATGGCTTAATTAAAGGCACACAGACGCACTATGTGTTTTAAGTGCCATTTCAAAGATTATATGAGACTGAAATCAGGCTACGCATAAATAGTGTCTGCATGAATATTAATAATATAAATATAATTAGCACTGTTGACTAATAAAGACAGTGTTTTTGCATGAGGAAGGGACTGCAGTTCCTGTGCTTGTTTATGTTCCTACAGTGGCTCTAAATAAAGCACATCATTATTCCTCACTGTTCACTATGACTCAAAACACCGACCGCTGACCATTATCCATTCAGACACAGAGCAGAGCCTGCCAAACCCTGGAGACTTCCAGCTCAACATTTGCCGAGTGTTTTGACCAAAAGAGTTGCGCGCAGGTGGGATTGGTTCTCCCATGATGCGAAGGACTGGAAACATTCGGGTTTCCCAGCATCTTGATTCACTCATTCATGACAATACTTCTTTCATATGCTGCCAAACTGTACAAATTGAGCTCGGAAAAACAGAACATATGTCTTTCCTCATTTGAACTGAGGAATATTATGAAAAAAATAAGTCCTTGTGTGTGTGTTTTACCATAAACACTACTTTAAAATGCTGGTTAAGTGTTTGCTACTGTACGTGATCCATGAAGAAAAGTGATTTGAGAGAGAAACGGAGAGAAATTTTAATTTTGTTTCAGACATGAAGTGTTTATATTTCTTATAACTTTATGATATTCAAAACTTGTTCTTTTGAAAAAGTAGTTTTATTGTATGTACACAGCAGACAAAAGAAACCCCCACTCATTATTTATTATAACTGCTTTCTACATATTTGAATAATAGTAAACTCAGTAAAACTATGAAATAACACGGAAGTATTTATTTTTATTTTATTTTTTTCAAACTTCCCACCCCCTGTCATTTCTTCCTTCTCTTTTTTACTGATTTTTTTTATTATTAATACTTTTATTCATCAAGGACACGTTAAACTGATGAAAAATGACAGTAAAAACATTGATTAAAAAAAATAATAATTCAAATAAAAATACTGTACTTTGAACATTGTATTTATCAAAGGATCCTGCAAACAAAAAAGTATCATGGTTTCAACAAAAAATTTAAATAAATAAATACATTTAAAAAAAATGTGTTCAACATTGATAATAATCAGAAATGTTTCTTGAGCAGCAAATCAGCATATTATAATGATTTCTGAAGATCATGTGACACTGAAGACTTGTTTAAACTATGCTGAAAATTCAGCTTTGATCAGAGAAATACATTCACATAGAAAACAGTTATTTTAAATTATAATACAATTTCACAATATTAATATTTTTACTGTATTTCTTGATCAAGTAAATGCATCCTTGGTGAGCAGAAGATATCATTTTAAAAGCATTAAAATTATTTCGTGCACAGGCAAGACTTAGATTTGTCTACAGTACTAATTTCAAGAAATTAAGCATAGGCCTGTGTGTCAAAAAGCTTTATGATGCAAAACTGGTAGTGCGTATGGAAAGATGTGACTTTAACACGTGTTGTGTCTCGTTGTCCGACGAGTGCTTGCGGTGTTCGGCCAATCACAATGCACTGTGTCAGCTGGCCAATCAGAGCAGACTGCGCTTGTCGGAAGGAGGGACTTTGTAGAAAACGAAGCGTTTGAGAGAGGCGGGGCATAGAGGACCTACAATAATGTACAGTATTTGAAAAATAATGTGTTTTTTGAACATTAAAGCATGTCAACATATTCTGTTACACCAAATACACCAAATAATGATCTTTAAAAAAGCATCCTATGACCCCTTTAAAATGGTTACATTAATTGTGTTTATATATATATATTTAAGTGGAAATCAGTTCACGTAATTATGTAAACTTGACTGACTGCATCACTTCCACTTTAAAGCTATAGTATATGTGTATATGAATCCAAACAAAAGGGTTTATCTGTTGGTTTACTTCGCTGTCAGAATCGAACTTATCCGTCCATCAGAAAGTCAAGGTTGTTTTCTTTGGACTGCTGTCTTGTGTGGGATCTTGTTTCTTCAGTTCTTCACACTGCAGTCGTCTCCGCTCAGTCAGAGAGGTCAGAGGTCACGAGGACGGATGGACTCAGAGATGTTTTATTTATTTGTGTTGAGCTCATACAGGTGAAGATGAAGGGCTGTGACAGACCGTGCCCAAACTTCTTATACCCTGAGCTCAGTGAGGAGTCACTGCATCACCACTGACCTGCCAAGAGCATGATGGGAAAAACTCCACCTAATCAGCTCTCATAGGAACAAGCGCCTCGCCTTTACACCCGTATACACACAGTAACACACCTTATGTGTATCTATACACATAACACACACACCGAAATACAAAAAATGGATGTTACTTGTTTGTGAAATTTGATGAATGTGCTTATAGGTTTTAAATAATTTGGCCTGAAGTCATGAGCGTCTTTAGATTCAAGAGTTGAATGTTCAGAGGTCAGGCAATTTGAATGGCTCTACGGGTCAATAAATCTGTGCATAACCTTTCAAATGGCATAAAATAATCCTTAAAATTGTTGGATCGTGCTGAAAGTAATGTTCATGTACTGATGTGCTTGGCCCCATAATTCCTCCCATACTATATTGCTTAAATATTTGCTTATAATATTAGCTAC